ATATGCTTCTTCCTTCCTCTCTTCTGCCTATCATAATAGTGGGCATTTTAGTAGTATGTCAGTGTTTTATGGCTGAAGGTTTTCTGTGCAAGTATTGAATAAAAAATAGATTTTCTGTTCCCTTATATTGCCAATTCTTGTGGCACATTTCCATCTATAGCGAGCTTTGAGCAGCTGTTCTTGGGTAATACAGATATTTCCACCAGCTGGTAATGTAAGTTGATTCTGCTATTAAGTGAATAGTTTATAAATGTTGTTCCCTAATTTCTTAAGAGTGTGAATGTGCACATTTTCCTTGTTTCTTTTGCAAAGTCTCCTTTAGCTTTCTAACAGCATTGTTTTTATAAGCGGAGGTAAAAGCAGCTGCATAACTAATTCAGTATCAATCAGTGCAGCTTTTGTCACAACTGATCTTTATGCTATATCTTCCAGTAATAAGTATAAAATCCTTAAAAAAAGAGAGACACCCCAATATTTATTTTCTCAGGAAAATAGAGCCATAAAATTATTTATTCTTTAACATAGGATATTTTGTGTTGTGGGATTATGTTGTTTTTTCCTAGAAAATAATTCAAAAAGTGCTAGAAAAATAATCAAATTTAGCTCATGTTTGACTATACATATGGGGCAGTTTCATATCAGTTACCTTATGTTTTATGTAAAGTAAAAGTATTTTTGATTACTTTTACAGTTAGATTTATTTCCAGGAAGAGAGGTATAATTCAATCTTGAGATAGAGTTCATCAGGGTTGCTTCATCTTGTCCTAGGTGTAGAGAGAGGGAGTTTAACTCACAGTAGGATAAATTGTATTTTGGACACATGTGAAGACCTAGGTCTCTTGAGAATTCTATAATGCTGGGAAATACGGAAAAAAGGAAAAAAAGATGATCATTAAGTGGATAGACTCAATTACAGTGGCAGTGGGCATACTGTTGAGTCCAAGTTGGGGGCTGGAGAAAATCTGCTAAGAATTGACACCAACTTAATGGCACATAGTCAATGGGAATAACTTCACACAGCCAGGTCTCATCTATAGGAGTTGGAAAAAAAATTGTGCAGTGGAAAAATGAAATCCAAGAACTTCAGTCATGTTTGGAACCTGGCTTCATTTGCAATATATGGTGTAATTACAGGCTTTCAGAGCTTTCATATTTTATTAAGTATATGTATATTTTAATGTTCTACAGGGTTGCCAAGAGCTCTAGTCAAGGGCAAGAAACCTTGGAGGTCGGTGCTCTAAAAAATCTGTGGCAACCTATGTTTCAGTCATTTCTTTGATGCAATTTCTGTTTGTGTCATTTATTTTGTCCTCCACTTCCTTGATAAAGCTGCGTAATTTATATAGTATAAAGGAACTAAAATTTTTTCTTATTATTGTATCAGAGCATCAAGGCCTAAAGTACAGGGCCTGGCAGCAAAGATCGAAATCATAACCTTGGAATTGCTTGGAAAGCTTGCCCTAGTTTGCTTTTTGCCATATTATAAAATTGGCAAAGTATAAGATGGAAAAAAAGTAGAAGTTAGAGATGAGTCAGCTTTTTATACTATTTTAATCAAGCTTTTGGAACAAAATACTGTAAAATTAATCCTATTCGCGTGTCTGTTGATATTTTCAAAATAAAAATTATGTAAACTAAAATATTTGAATGGAACTCAACACCTGATGACAGTGTAGACATGTCCACACAGCGCTTTTGGCAACAATGTAAAAGTGGCTTGCCATTGCCTTCTTCAGGAATTTTTTCTTCCAACTTCCCAGACCAGTCTGTTACCTGGGATTCTGTCCTTCATTCTCTTTACAAGCCTTTTGTTTTCCTGACCT